GGGGGGGGGGGTAAGTACAGTTAAGAGTCACTAAGACAATTAATGGAATGGAGCATCTGTCATGCCAGCCGACACTGAGAGAGCTGGCACAGTTCACCCTCGAGAAGGCTCAGGGGGATCTCATCCATATATAGATATGCCTAATGGCAAAGGGGGAGTAAAGACGGGAAAGCACCTCTATTTGTTGTTGCTGCTGTATAACCTCAGGACAGATGACATGGCCTTGTTCATCTTCACTTTGTTCCTTCAGCTTAGCATTTACCAAGGCAGCCTTGCGAGGGTGAGGACACCAAAATTCCTAGGTGAAAATGAGTTTACAGGAGATAGGGGTTGTAGGAAAAGAGGTTTATAGAATGGACTTCATGGGGGTGAGGGAACAGATGTGGTAAGACCACGCAGTCAACTTCTCCAAATGTTCCCCTGCTGGTTTCCCCCTGTATGTACCTTGTTCTGTCCTTACTTATTGCTCTGCTGCACACTGCAGCTCTGGTGCTGACTGGCAGTAGGGGTGGATGTATGATTCTGACTGCTTGCATTAAAAAAAGTGTCTCTGTTTCATTTCCTTACAGCCAATCCCTTGGGTATTCTTTTAGCAAATGTGCTGTCACCTGCGCTGGTTCCTGAAGGAAAACACATCCCATTGATGGTAAATGAAAACTGCTTTAATCAGCCAGCTGGGCTGATTGGGGTCCAGCTGATTTATTTATTTGGAGGCGGTGGAGCTCGAAAGACTGGTAACATGTCTTTACTTTGTGTTGTGTAGCTGGGTGTTTATGCCGTCCCAGCAGTAACAGCCTGTGCTCTAGCAACTGTGGGGATTCACCAGAAGGTTCCTCCAACACCTCCTTCAGCCAGCGCCACTAACTCCACCTCCCAGCCGTTCCTCATGGGGCTCAAAATGGTAAGTGCTGTAGCACAGCGAGAAACCAGTGCTGTAGTGAGGGATGCAGCCCTGCCAGTCAGGGCTATGCTGAGGAACCTGTTGACAAAGCAGACTCTGAACTCCACTCCACTAAACCGGACATGGAAAGCCCCCTGAAGGAGACCAGGATCCCTTTCTTCCTCAGTGAGTGGTAGCTGCTCACAGCAAACCTGCGAGAGACACTATCTGACTGTTCAGCTGTGGGCTGGCTGCCATTCAGCTAGCTCAAACAGGCACACCTGGGCTCATCCAAGAGAACCACACAACCTGAGCCTTCTGAGCAAGTGTGGTAACACGTAGAACAGCACATGGCAAAGTGAAGGAAGAATTTGGGCACTGAACAGATCCTTCCTCCCTACATGGTCCCCATTTTAACTTGTCCTCTGGCTGAACTGACAAGAGAGAGACAAACTCCTCTGATGATCACAGGGTTGCCTTGTCAACATTTCTAACTGAGGGGTCAGAGGCACTGATCCTCAAATCTACCATCACAGACAGACTGTTTTCACCCCTCCACTTGTTTAAATGATACTGTAACTTCTTTCTCTAGCTCCTGCGAAACAAGCCATACATCATCCTGGCAGTGTGCTTCGGAGGAGGAATTGGGATGTTCACCTGCTTTTCAGCTCTGCTAGAACAGATCCTTTGTGAAAAGGGGTACTCAAATGTGAGTCTTGCTCCTTTCCTCCCCAGTTGTCCTCATCATCTATGATACAATCAAAATTAGTTTCCCAGATAAGGGACTCAGAGCAAAATGAAGACAGTTGAATATGCTGCACTGTCTCATATCTTATTTGCTCACATTATCTAACACAGAATAAGCAGTACATTAATCCAGAGCACAGTCAGTCTCTCAGTATAATGGATGATCTGCATTTTCATTACTGTCCATGGCCAGGCTCCCATTTGCAAATGAAAAACCTTTACTCCTCAAACACTTTTTAGAGAGAAAAGAGTACTGTGTTTTTTCTAAGCCACTACAGAGTACTGATGTCTATGCAGCCTTCTGACACCTTTTCCAGAGTAGGATGGAGCCCAGGCAAGCCCTAGAGTGAAGCTGAAGGCAGGCTGATGCAAGCGCCTTTTCCTGTTTGCACAGTCTTACATGAAGCCAGGGCAGCAGAGGAGCTCACACATGCTGCGGCAGATGTTTTCCCATCCTTCTTATGACACCAGCCAGGTGCTGCTTTTACAGTTGAGCACAGTGTGTGCACAGCTGGTTCCTCCTGCTCTCTCCCTGCAGTAGCAAGGGGCTGCCCCAGTTCCTGTGTTTCCCCTCAGGCAGGCAGCACTTCCGTCTTGCTGCTTGTATCCCCATGAAGGTCCTCTTAATACACCTGTCCAGCTGTTATGTATGCAAATCTACATGCCTTGTCTCTGTCCACTCCCTCTCAACTCCCAGGTCTGATAGCTGGCTCAATGCTCCATAGCCAGGTCATATTTGCACACTCCATTGGCTTTTAATTGGAAACCTTTGCAGCTTTGCTTTCTGTTCATCATGATGCTTTTGTCTGGGTGTGACTGGGTTACCTTGGCTCTTTAGCCCACAGAAGCTATTCCAGATACCCTTTTCTTCCAGTCTGCCCCTGAGGCTCCCAAAAGTGTTTACCCAAATTTGTTAAAGCTTCCCTGCTTTCCAGATTGGTGTCTGCATTTGAATGCTCACAGAACTGAAGGAGCAGATAGTCGCTGCAGGCAACAGAGCATGTACCCTAACTGCTGCTCACTGCCTCTCTTAATTAGACCTCCTTGCTACAGCCAGGTGATGCTGTGTATCATCTAACACACTTTGGGGCTGCCAGCCTTGTGGAAGGCATTCTGCCAGTGTAGGTCTGTGGTAAGAAAAGGACCAGGGGCATGATTATAAACAGGAGCAGATCCCAAGGCAGGTGGGTCTGTTATCACCAATGTGGATAAGGCTCCTGATTGCCCCTGGAGGAGCTAAGAGCAGTCACATGCCTGGGCTGGAGAATTTAATGCCAGGGAACTGCTGCTGCTCTGCATGTAGCCTCCCTTGCTAGGGGTGCAGAGACTTGTCATCCATTGAGACCTTGGGAGTGCTTTGACCCTGCTGTCCCCACACAGTGGTAGCAGCACCTGGGCCCTGTTACTTGCTATTCAGAGCCCTGTGGTGGCCTCAGCTACTGCAATGGGCAGGGAAGCTTTTTCAACCTCAGTGAGTGACTAGCAGCAGGCAGATGGGTCAATGACATTAAAGCCTCTTTCCTAGCTGCTCTAGTTGCTCACTTTCTTGTTCTTCTGCCCTCCAGGAATTTGCTGGCCTGAACGGTGCACTGTTCACAGTGTGTGGTTTGTTGGGTGCTTTCCTGCTAGGCCTGTATGTCGACCGGACAAGGAAGTTCATAGAGTCCACCAAGATTTGTTTCTGTCTCAGTGCACTTGCCAGCATCGTGTTTGCAGTGGTGAGTTCTCTCTTGTGTTGCACCATACCTGTGACCTTAGTTCTGTTGCCATCCAGTAAATCATCAACTCAAAGAAAGGTCACTTGATATCATAGTATTTATTAAGCTACATGTTGTGCTTTGGGATTATCATTCTGGGCTAGCAGTGTTTTAAAGAAAAACCGTTTACTGAGGGTTTCACAGTCACTGTGGAGCCTGAGACAGACTGCTTCAGGATAGAAATAAATTGGGATGATTTTACTTCCTTACATGGGAACAACAGTCTGTTTACTGGCCCTGAGACCATTCTTTCCAAAAAGGAATGTAATTGCTAAATATCCATCTTAAAAAAATGAACAAGAACGCAATAGTTTTCCCAAAACCTGTTTCTAACAGTGGTGGTTGCCAGGAGTGTAAGATCAGAAGAAAGGACCTAGTTATGTGCCTAGTTCTGCAGCAGTTCCTTGAGGAGGACAAGAAGGGGAGATGCAGAAAAAGGGGACACCTGAATACACAGCCAGGAGAGGAATGCAGAACCTGAATATGTTACACCCATGGGGCTGGAGTGCAAGTACTGTAGTCAAGCGTAGTCATTGTCAGTGGAAGCCATCACCCAGCAAGAATGTGAGCATGAGGCACAGGACTCCTAGCTCTGCAGAGGACTGAGAAGGGTGCAGGTCTCTGCTTTCCCAACAGGCTTGTCCTGTGCGTTTCTCCTGTGTGTTGAAAAATCCATACTTTCAACACAGCGTGATCACATCTTTCCCTGGGCCAAGATCCCAGTGATGTTAGCTCCACTTTGAAGAGACAGACAAATGCAATGCCTTTCTCAGTGTAGGACAAGGTGCCTAAAGTAGACCTTGCACCTCCCCCCTTAGTACTCTTGCATTTGTTGGGAGGATGCTCTGAATAAAAGCCAGCATACATGGGCTCAGGTGGAGCACAGAGTAGGCAAGAGGCTGTGTCAGAAGCAACAACCAAACTTTTCTTTTCTCCCCTTCTCTCTGTCATCTTCATCCCATACAGATGAACTACCAGTTCAAAGTAGTAAAACAAAAAACACCCATTCAGATCTGCTTGTTGCCTTGATGCTTTGAACTTGGTTTCCACACTCACAGAATTTTCCTTGACTTTACCAGTTTAGTAGGGCCAAGCCCTGCTGCAGCTATGCCAGGACAGACAACTTATGTTCCTCTGTGGGAATTTATTACATGGTTGAGGAAGAAGGTACCAGCTCTATGTCTGCAGTGTTTATGCCCTTGACTTGACTAGAATTGACTGGACAAGGCCATGCTCTTTCCTCCAGAGTTAGGAACAAGGCTGTTCTAGGAACTAAACTAATCTTCAGGGTTTGTGATGAATGTTTTGGGTGGTTCTTTTGTTTGTTTTGTGGGGTTTTTTTTTGTGGTAAAATCACAACATTACAAACATGGTTCTGATGTGATAAGGAATGGTTTTTGTTATCACTGAGCTGTAGCAACTAAGGAATAGTTTTCCTTATTGATGAGCTGCAGCAACCTAGTGAATTCTCATATGCAATCCAATACAAACACCACTTATGAAATGTTAGCTTGCATTGGGAGGAAGGTGTGTGTTTTACTTGGTTCTGGAGATACACTGAGCACACTCCTGTTAAGTTACTGACCAGGAAGTCAAGTCACAGTAGTATGTCCACATCGGTGATTTTCAGGTAATTCTGTAGATCCTCTCTCCCCTTGCTTAAATTCAACAGATAAATCACTGTCGTGTAGCCATGTGTTGACTCTAGAGAGTAGGGGGTAAAAAGAGAGATTTCAGGAACAGGTAGGGAAGGTATTGTTGAGAACAGTGAGCTCTTTGTACTTGCTGCAGGTTATAGGTTCAGAGACTTTCTGTGCAGCGGTGCTGATACTGAGACTTTGGTGTTGCTTTCTGCCTGCAGGCCTCTCGGTTCAGACATCAGGCCCTCACACTGGCTATCAGCAGCTCGCTCTTTGGTTTCTTTGGTTTTGCCATCTACCCCATTGCCATGGAGCTGGCTGTGGAGTGCTCCTACCCTGTGGGAGAGGGCACATCTACAGGCTTGATTTTTGTTGCAAGGTAAGCAAGCAGTTTAAATCCAATTGACAGCTTAGCTTGGGTTCAAACACACAGACACACACACACAGAGGGGTGTGGGTGCAGACAGAGAAAAGTTTGGACATCAGTGCTAGCCATCCTGCTAAACTTCTCTCTGGTGTCTGTGCACATGACCACGGCAAGAGGGGAGCTGGCTAGCTGAACCGTAGAGCTGAAGAGCTAAAGGTTTTTAAGCAAGGAGGAGTATGTGGAATTGGTGCAAGAAAGCCATGGAGGGAGATGAAGGTCTTCCTTGCTTGGCACAAAGCGGGATTTAACCATGCCCAGCATCATCTACCTTTGAAGCAGATGAGGGCTGTATGCCTGAGAGGGACACCCATTCCTATGGCAGTCCAGGGACTTAACAGGTCTCATTGCTCTGCTGAGGGAGATGGGGCTCATGACTCACAGGGCAGCTGGTCACAACAGATGGGGCGGTCACAGTCCTTCCCATGATAATTTATGTGCTTAGGCCTAGCACTGGACTGCAGCAGGAGTGACTTTTTGGAGCCCTATGCAGTGATCTACGTGGTCTGGTGCTGTGTGTGTGTCAGGTGGAGCTGCAGCAGCAAGAAACATCAAAGAGGGGCATTAGACACCACCTTTGAAGGCTGTTGTCTCCCACCAGTTGTGGACTTCGTTGCTGCTGCCAGCCAGCTATGAATGAGGAGGAGGCTGAAGTCATCGCCTGACTGTTTCCCATCCTCAGCTCTGCAGTGAGAGATTATTTCCAAGTCTCTGCCCAGTGACTAAGCCTCAGCTCCTTGACAACTGTAGTTCAACACCTGCCTGCCTCCAGAGGGAGTATATGGTGGTCCTGCCGTGCTCGCCCTGTGCTTGGGGGTGTGCTGAAAGGCTGACCTGGATACCCTGTGAGCCAGGGCCACTTAACCAAGTTCCTGGGCCAGGGGAAGCTGGCAGTAGCTTCCTCTGCTAGAAGGACCCTCCTCCAGAAAGGGGCTTCACTTTTTTCCCACTGGGGAAGCTGGGCTTGTCTGCAGCACTAATGAATTGGGCAGGCACCATGACTGCATGTTGGCTTCTCCCCACAGCCAGATTGAAGGTGTGATTTTAATGATTCTGCTACAAGCCCTCACCATGCATGTTTCTGAGGATCCATCCTTCACCTGTGCCTTTGACCAGCATGGAGCCCTGGACTGGACAAGTGAGTATGTCCTTGGGACATGGTGCTGGACACTCAGTTGCACCCCACGTAACCCTCCAGTCTCTTCCAGGTGTCACAGAGAGCAAGCCTGCAAGACTGATTCCTATTGTAGCATATCTCTTAGCAACTTTTCCTAACCTGCTGGTGCTCCTTGCTGCTCCTGCTAGACCAGGCCTGCAAGATTGAAATAGGAATAGCTGTAAGGTGCCATGAATGCTGTTGCTGCCTCTGAGTTAAAATTTCTCTTATGGCCACCCTGCAGAGACCTCAGCTTCACCAAGCTGGAAAGCAGCTGTTCTGGGGGTAAGACACTGTCCACATAGCACAGCCTGTGCTGCTTTGCAGTGTGGGAGACCAAGACTAGAAACGTATTCGCTGAAGACTACTGCCCTTGCTTCTGCACACAGAGCTGCCTGGGTTTGTAACATGGCAGTACAGCTTTGTTCTGACTTATTCCACATTTCCTTTCCTTTCCTAGCTGGTCAGGAGAAGAGACAACAACTGAGATGAACAGGAGCACAAATGTGTTTTCACTGTAGGCTAAATCCTGGTCCTGATCTCTCAGCTGTTTCATATTTATGTAATACTGACACCAAGTCCTGGGGACACACCACAACAGAAAGGCTGGCAAACATCTTTTAAATATATCCTGCTTGGCTGATCATAACTCCCCAGAACAAGCTCCACTAGCTGGTAGAGAACAAGGCTTCACTATAACTGACCCCCCAAAAGCAATTTGACTGCTTCATGTCTGAAAGACAGCAGCTCTCTGTCTCATCAGATCAGAGCTGGATCTCATGGTTCATTTTGTGGTCTGATACATGCAGGGACATCTGTGAAGAAAGGCATGGAGGTGGAGGTGTTTTTTTGAGACACTGCTGGAATGAGAATGTAACTACTTCCAGGCCTTGTTGGATAGTTTTTTAGATGTACCTTTTTTTTTTTTTTCTTCAGAAAAGGTTCTTTCAACACAAATGTTTCCTTGATTAAAGTTTATCCTTAGTGAATCTTTCGTACACTTTGCTTTTGGATGATATAACAAGCAGCAGTACCTGTGTGGACCTGTTGTCTTATGAAGCTCAAGTGTTTTGATTCAGTCTTTCTTGCAACTTTTCTTCACCACCCCCCAACACATAAATGTGTACACATACAAAGAAAAACACACCCCCACAAACACACTGTGTGCATTGGTGTAAGACCTCCAACCTGTGGGGTCACGCAAGACAAGAGTCCTGGAAACCTTCCACATTTCACCCAAATTCTACTTTCTATGCCAGCATTACATGATACAAGGTTTGTCTGTTACCAAACTGGCATTGCCCCACTGTGAGCTGCACACTGTCCTCAGGGGTAGCCCCTGTGAGGAGATCACCCAGGCTGTGCAGTTGCTGGGGAGTTGACCTCTAGATTTCTGCACGCATGGAGAGTTGTGAATTCACTGTCTAAAAGTGTGTCTTCCTTGCAGCTCCAGTACTGGTGCTGGCTGGCCTCTGCAGTGCTATGGCTTGTTTCTACGTCATCTTCTTCCACACTGACTACAAGCGGCTCCATGCTGAGACAAACAGTAGTGATTTGGTCAAAGCTGAAGATACAGCAACAGCAGATGTTCCTGAAGCCTAAACAAGCCAAAAAGGGGATGCCAAGGGCCCAGTAAGGGAAGGACTCAGGCCTGTGGGCAGGGACCATGATGCAAATGCTCAGCTGGCACACTGGGATATCCAGCTCCTGCTAGAGCAGAGTCACTGGGGCACCTTTGCTTCCCTCAATCTTGTATTTATTTGTGTGTCCAGGCTGTAAGAAAGACTGTGGTGCCAGAAAGGTCAAAACGGAACTGGACAACTGTGCAGGTAACAGGGATTTTTGGCTGACTTGATTCAAGCTAAAGAAATGTTGCAGAGAAGAAGAGCATATTTCAGCCGTTTTTTCATTTTCATGTACTTGGATCAGGGCTGAAGCCCTGATCAGAGGGGTGGAAGCTGTGCCTATCACAAACCTAGTGCCTGTCACAAACCTAGTCCCAGAACCTAAAGCGTCTGTTTAAGGACTGTGGTTCTTGTACACCATAACATGTCTTCCGCCCTAAGGTTGGAGCTAATTGTGCATCTTAGCTAAAGGGCAGTAGGAGCTCGAGCGTCCTTCCATTGCAGCAGGGAAGTGTAGTATGTGATCTGTAATACAAGTCTGTTACAATGAGACACTTTGCCCTCTCCTACAAACAGGAAAGGCAAAGCCCTGCCTGCAGTGCCACATGTAAAAGAAAAAATCAGAAAGCAGCAGAAGTTAAATATGGCAGCATTCCTCACCCTTCTGGTCCCCTGCCAAATATTGTGATGTTCAAGATAAGCTTGTTTTACTTGGGCTTCTCTTGGTTCTCCACATCTCCTGCAATTCCAGGGGTTTAAGTTTTCCACAAGAAGATGAACTTGCTGGTGTAAGATTAGGGTAGTGTACCGTCCCCAGGCCAAGTCATGCTCCCCTACAGCGGAACACTGACAGCTGTTCTTCAGTGTTAGAAGAGAGGGGTAGTGACACAAAAGATCCCATTTGGAGTTCAGTTACCCTAACAGTTGCAATGGGTACTGTTCCAACCCACTCACTGCATGAGGGCAAGGTTTCTTTTGGAACAAACAACCTCTTCCTTTTGCCCCTTACAGGTACAACTGGATTTTTCATTTTACAGTACTTCCACAGCAGTCCAGTATCCTGCTTTGGTGTTCAGGTCTAGATGTACAACCTGAGAACTTTCTACCCTATAACATTTCAGTGGTAAATAAGAGATAGATGGGACTTGGTGATGCTTCATACTATGCATCTTGCAAGGGGAGTCTGAGTACTTGCTGATTAAGGGAGCTTGATGCAAATTGGACCTGTGACTGGCTTTGTCCAGTCCAGCTAGAGGATGATCTCAAAGCAAAGGATGCACTTTCCCTGCGGAACACTGTACAGAGGAGTACTCTCAGTTTATGAATTCTCTTCCCCATTAGCACTGCAAATCTCTCCCTTTGTAAAACACCTAGTTGCATCATTCTAGGGAGCCCGCTGGTTCCTACAGCTCCAGCCTTGCTCTCACCAGTAAGCACTGATGTCTGTCAAAAGGAGCAGGAAGGAGGTCTGGGACTGAGGCGAAATAAGACCAATTTGGACCTGACTGAGGAATGAGATTAGCTGTCTTTTCCAAAACTAGCTGGTCAGTTCTGCAGCCCTGGACCTTATACACTGAACAGATTAACACCAAATTTACCTGCCATTCCTGAGTCCTACTGTACTGGGAAGCAAGAATCACATGGTACTTTATAATTTTATATATTTACAAATGCTTTTGTTTTTTTAATAAAGGGTGGTTTAAGAAAATATTAATCTCACTGTATTAAACTTTTAAAAGTACTTTATAGATGCAAAGGTACATCAGATCTGCTAAGCAGCACAAACCAAAGGTCTCTGTATTTGCCAGATGTGCATTAAGTTGTGTTCAAAATGATGGTGACTCAGATCCTTAAAATGACAGTGTGAAATTAGCTACAGGTTAAACTATAGTTAGCTCTATTTTGAAGGATAGGTTAAAGGAGTGAGGAAATATTGCTAGCAAATGTCTCCAAAATCTGCCATTGACCTGGTCAGAGAGTCTGCCTTGCACCAGCTAAGACATGCATCTTTATCCAAGCATATAAAAGAGACTTGAAAGAGATTTTTGTCTCTACTAATGCATCAGACATACAGGTGTATGTGGCTAATTCTGAATTCTTAAGGTGTAGTGGAGCAGGCTGCTCCTCCGCTGTACAGTTTGTCATACCCTGGCAGCATGCCACAGAGGCGTTATGGCACTGCTCACATGAGGCCAGGTAGCTCGCACAAATACCTACCTTGCACCATCAGCTGTTTCTGCTGGCTCAGCTAACCTCACATTTTGTCTTTAGAACAAAAGAGGCTCAAATTTCTGAGCTAGTGTGTAGTTACCACCATAGTTGAAGTCAGCTTACTGCTGTACACTCTTCTCAAGGCTGCATAACTTGTCTCTCAGAGCTCACATTTAGATGTGCCTTTCCCTGGAAAGCCTATGGAAAGCATGAAGCTGAAATCTTAGCAGGACAGAAGGATTCTGATGTTGACGTATGGGCCTGGTATGCTGGGGGGTGGACCCATGTCTTCTCACTGCCAAAGGAGTGGTCTGGCTGCCTTAATAAGCCTTCTGTGAACCCAGTAACCCCAGGAGAGGCCTCTACGACAGGTCTATGGGGTCACTGGAAAACTGGCACTGCAGAAGGCCTCCTGCAAAGGTGAATGGTACTGGCTGTAGTTTGGTCTCACTAGAGGGCTTCTGCTTTTGTTAAACCAAAAGAAAGGGACAGAAAGGTCGGCCAGCTGCTCCCATCACAGCTGTGGATCCTAGAGAAGCCCTCTGATGGAGGCAGGGATAGACATTCTTGCCATCCTGTCACAGCTGGGGCAAAGACAACACTTCTGGTGCAAGAAAGGTTCCTCTTGCACAGCAGCCAGTGTTAAGGCCTCTGGAGCAGCTCAGTCCAAAGGGTTTCTGCAGAACTCTATCTCCGCTTGTCACTGGAGCAACTCTGCTTGGTGAAATAACCCTTCAGGCTTTCTGTACCCCCTCAGAACTGCCAAAACTCTCTGCCCTCTTTCTGCAGCCTCCCCTGGAGACTGCATGGGGCTGGCAGAGGAAAGTCAAGTTTACATGAGCCTGGGAGTGAGATATGCTGCAGTCTGAAGACCAAGCAGTTCCTGCCTGCCCTGTCCTGTACTGGCCAGACTTGGCTGTAGATGTCAGGAAGGCAAAAGGAGCAGGAGCTGTACTGGAGAAACGCAGCCCCAAGGATGTTCCTGTAAGTATAGCTACCTCATTAGAAACCTGTAAAGAGGTTCAGGTGAGATTCTTTGTGCTGTCATGGGATGAGTTGTCAATGTCCAGTACTCCCATGCTGCACCTCTCACAGGGGTCAGTGGACATATCAGCAAAGTCTGCATTGCCTCCACTGGTATTTGCACACCAGTACAGGAAGGCCTGCCTCTACAGGACTGGGTCACCCTGGCTGGAATTAGGGTGGAGGTCATCTACACTGTAACCCCTGCAAAAGCAAACAGAACTAATGTTGGTGCTGCCTTTTTAAGTAAGTAAAAGCAGACTTGTCATCAAAATGTTAAAAAAAAAATCCAGGGAAACTTTAAGACAGAGGATACCTTTTGTTTCTTCAAAAGTAAGAAAATATGGTAGAAAAAAAACCACAAACCTGTGTATAAACTGTATAGATATAAAAATATTGCAGTGATTGGAGCTGGCAGTGGAAGCAACACATCATGAAAAATACAAATTATGACAATGGCTGGAGTAGCCATTCTGTCAGCTGTTCTTGCTGCTTTTTAGGACCACTGTGCTCAAACACCTTTAGCCTTGAGCAAAGAGACTCAGTAAGCAGGGCATATACAGGTTAAAAGTCAAAAGCAATTACACTTGGGGCTACAGAAAACCTTCTTGTGCCTCACGCCTTTCTGAAATAGAGATTTATTTTCTTCCAAACACCAGAGCCTCAAGACCTGTTGGCCCCCTTTTACCTTCATCTACACCTCTCTTTGGATCAAGTTTGTCACAAGGATTTTGTGGCCTACCAGCGAAAGCAAATTGTAATTTAGCTTTCTGGAGCTCTTCAGAGAAGCATAAAGCAGTAGCTAGCATGTCCAGGTTCTGATTGATACTCTGCAGTCTTAAATAAAATAAACACCAAAAGCAACTAGTGCTTTAAAACTCCCCAGGGAATTTTTATCACCTGTTTAAAACAAGCGGCCCTACTCAAAGCTGTAATGTGTTCACATGTGTGCCTGCTTTGCAGGAAGCTACCTCAATAATTTTGGCTCAGATCAGATGGTGGTGTAAGATGGAAGAAAATACATCCTGGAACCACACATGCTACAAAATAGGAACAAAACTAGATTTCTTGAGAGGTTTCATGGAAAAGGAGCCCAGAAGGGTGGTAGGAAAAATATTGACTAGCTGAAACATCTATTATAGTACTTTCTGCATGGATATGTTTCCTTCATGTACACCCTTGTGATTCCACTTCAGGAATTCTGGGCTTTATTAACATATGATGGACAGTACTGGCATTATTTAGTTTGCTACATCAAGTTCCTTTAATGTAAGAGAGTGATTTAATCAATTGCATCCCCCTGGAGAAAGAGAGAGTAACACAGCATGCCTTGAAGAAGAAACTATAGGAACTTGGCTGTTCATCTCATCCATTCTTAGTTTTAAAAAGTAACCTGATCTGGTTTGTGCTCCCCCAAAAAAACCACAACCTCTCCCTGCTCAAAAGCTGAAATTTTGAGTTAAAAGGCTCGTTAGTCTCTTTGGCATCTTTCCTTGTAAGGAGAAATCTAGGCAGAACCACTTCCAATCATCAAAGCTCCACTTTAACCTTAGTACTACAACAACTACTACTACTACTACCACTGCCACTGATACTCCCCACTGTATCCCTCTGTCAAGATTTTTTCTCTTTTTTTCTTTCTTCTTCCTTTTCTTCCTGTAGCCAGCCTGTTTCAATCACATCCAAGGAACAATTGCTTTGGCATTGGCACAGGTATGCTGTCCAGACCTACTGCTGGGGATG